AAAAAAAAAAAATAAGAAAAGGATAACAAGAAGGAGAAACATAATCCTAGAGTATCCCATATAACGATTGTGTTTGGTCCAGAACACCGTGCCTAAAGAGAAGAAATAATAATAGTAGTAGTCCATAGAAACCAAGCCCAAGCCGTCAGAACGCCATCTAGTTAATGATAATGGCGACGTTTGGGGACCAGAGCAAGAATGCCATTCACCTTGTTCAAGTGAAAGAAATAACAATATTAACAATAACCAAACATAGAGCCACTTTTATAGACTTCTTCTCTCCGCACTTCTGATTGTATTCTTTGTTGTTTGTTCCCAGTCAGACGGTGTGGTCGTCATAAATGAACCTGATATCTCGTGGGCGTCGAGTGTCTCTCCTGACAAACTCTTCATCGCCGGGGGGTCTTTCGTTCTTGGTGTTGCCCGTCAGCATGCTTTGGATGCTCATGCAGACGCTCTCGACAGACTGGATAGGCGACCATCCCGCAGAACCGAGCAGATCCAGGCATATGATCCCGTTGCTGTATATATGAGGATGCATCGGTATCGGGCGTGGTGTCTCTGATGTCGCTGGTAGGGAGATAAATTGAACTTCTGGAGCTTCTGCCATGCCAAAAAAAGAAAACATCGTTAGCCCGGGTGTCTACAATAAGTCTCAAGAGACAGACCGACAATACCTATAGGGTAGTTTTTGCTGAATGTGAACCTGAGCCGGTAGGTCTCATCCTTGTAGATGGGATTGTCGTCCAGGACCCGGATGTCCATCTCCCACTGCTCTAGGTTGTCTGCCTTTGCAACAGTGACTCCGGGAGGCAGGGAGTTCTGCATCTATGAGGGGGCATATCCAGGTTAGCCATCAAAGTCCACCTGGAGCTGCTGATGTAGGACAGGTCCTAGAAGAAGGGAGGAAGCGGTAGCAGTCGTAGTAGTCGTAGCAGTCGTACCTTGATAAGCTCCTGTATGACCACGTTAGCTCGCTGAGATGCTATAGCGGACGATCGTATCTCTCGACGTAGCAGAGGGACATGGAAATACCTTGCTCAGCCTCTTGCTGGCGAACATCTTGCGCCGGATATGCTGGTGTTATCGACCTGAGCTGCGGTTGCGGGGTAGAATGCTGGAAGAACGCGGATGTAGCTAACTAGTTAGTTATCGCTCTGCGAGACCGAAAGAGAGGAAGCAGAAGTAGAAGACGACGGCGAGAACGAGGAGCAGGATTTATACAGTAGGGTATCTCATGCCGCGGCGTTTCCTGTGGTTGTTAGTGGTCGGCGGACAGCAGGAAGGATATCCAGTTCCAGGCCCTCTCTGGCTAACTAACTAGTTAACCTAACTTTGGCTACTTGGCTACTTACCGAGTCCCGGGGGCAAAGGAGAGTCGCGCGTTCACTGGGGGGGCGACAGTGACTGCTTGTAGAGCAGCTACCCGGGCAGTGAATATATATATGTCACTGGCCCGGAGGGCGGGAGAGGCCCTTTATTTATATCGTCTACTGCTTGACCCTGAGCAAACGAGCGGCTTGCGTCGTCTTCTTCGACTTCACTTAACTAGTTTCCTAGTGATAACGCTAGAAGTTTTAGTCTCTCTTAGTTTATTCCGCTGTTATTTATAACGATCAGGTCTACAGGAGCTTTCCTTGTAGTTATGTTTGAGGCAACACAGACGTTTTTCGTCTAGGCCCTCAGCTGTGTTGACAGACTGAGAGCCCAGTATCATCCACTATCAGAAAGACAAGTTCCTACGAGTATCGGCAATTGAAATGCTACTTGCCGGGCAATCATAGCTACCTCTTGCGGTTGAAGTAATTGTGCTCATTAAGATGTGTTTGCTAGCTGCTAAATAGTAGTGTGAGTTTAAGATATTGCCATTCCGGAAGCCGCAGATACGGCCAGGTTTGAAAATGAGCAAGACGCTCAGGGCGCTGCAATACAACTGGGAGCTGGCGAGTGCTAAGCACACTCTTCATAGTTCATCGATGTAAGCCGTGGATAGTCCATATTCGGCACGCTAGAAACTACCTTCGGCAGCTTAACCACTGGTTGGCCTCGTTCCATACTTTGATATCAACTACTGGCTCCTTATTAGCCGCCTGTACCGCTTTATACACCTGTGCATTACATCAATTAGCCAACAGTGTTCCCATAGTTAAGGAGCTGGTCTGGCGCTTACCGCATCCCATAGATGGAATGACATATCTAGGTTCTCAGAGAAGCTGTGGCTGTGCTGGAACCATTCTTTGCCCTTGTCCTTGACTTCTTCTCTGATGGCTTCAGTGGTAGGCTCTGGTTCCTGCGGTAAGTCATCTAGGTAGGTGCGGACAGCAATTGCAAGGCCACAATCATTGTCGTCGATAAAAGGAAGGCTATGTAGATGTTAGAGAAGGAAAAAAAAATGAATTGTCAAGGGAAACCTCGGCGCACCTTAGACTTAAATCAGTCCAGTCATCACGGTCCCTATTAGCATCCCCGCTGAGCAGCAGCGATGCGAGAACAACTTCTATCAAGTCGCGAAGAGCTGAGCGCACGGTGCTGACAAGGGAGCGGAATGATAGCAGTTGCCTGCTGAGTGGTCCAGAATACCCGATGGGCTTGTGCTGGATTTTCCCGAAACATGCAACTCGCGAGATCAAGAGATTATTCCTCTGTTCTTCATCTGCTGGGAATGTTAGACCCTAAATATGAAATGTTGATATGTTGGCCGCAAACTCACCAGTTCCTCTCATTGGGCCGCCTGATGTGTTGGGGAACCAGTCCTTCGAGCTCAGGATCCCCAAACGAACAAGCTCAACGGCTAGGAATGTTGGTTCCTCTAGGTTATCTGACGGCTTGAGAGAAGACAGTGCAGATTCAAGAGCTTTTCCCCAAGTTGTGAGCTGGTGTTTAGAGTCGACATAGCCTCTTAGTTGAAGGAACCTCCATGTAACATTGGAGATTATCTCTTGTTTGGTTGTGAGGGGCTATAACAGTTAGTTGATTACAACCACATGATGGGTCTGGAATACTCACTGCAGCATCCTTGGGAGAGAAGGACTTCGACACAAAGTCTTGGTCCTTTAGTGCCGACAGGCAAGAAGTGAGGAGTGGAGAATTCTCCTATTACTTGTTAGAATTTCTTGAACCGTGTATACACATATAAATCTATATATACCTGGAGTTTTTGTACACTCTCCGGCAGCTGCTTGTTTCCCAGACGCCAGCTGGTTATTGTGTCTTTGACTGAGGGAAGATCCTTGAGATGGATTGATTTATCCGTTTTATCGTCGTACCAGGCTCGGACGTTAATGACCTTTGTCTGATAAAAGCGGTGGAGCGAGTTGGACAAAAGGCAAAGCGCTTGTGTCCTGATTGGAGGGAGGTTTTCAGTGAAAAGGCGGCGATAGACAGGTGTGTCCTCAGTGCCGAGAGGAAGAGTAAGCAAAAGCTCGCCAGATGTGAGCCAATTGGGGATCCGCGAGCCTAGTATGCCCTTTGAGATGTAAAAGTAAAGCTCCTCGGGAAGGCGTTGGCCAATAAGCTCGTGTAGGTCGGAAGATGCATTCTCTGGGTCAAGTGGGCCGACTTTCCCATCTGCATCCATAATGACATGATGCTTAACGGTCATGAAAGCACGCTTGAAGCGATCCATATAGTCAAGGTCGTGGACTCTCTGGTCCTCTTCAAACTGAGCGCAAAGTGCGAGCGCGTTTCTTCCAGCAGAGTTGAACATGCCAACCGCATCTCTGATATTAACCCGCTTTCCGCCACCGTAGCCCGGTGTTTCAAAGGGTGGAAATGTGGGAAGGAAAGGGGATCCGAGGAGAAGACACAGGTCGGCAAACTGCTGGTTTGAAAGACGGCCCAACTCTTCCTGACATAGAGATTTTGTCACCCAGTTAAAGTGGCGCAGGTCAGTGTCCATCTTGGTAATGATCTTTTCAACCTCGAAAAGGAAGAGCTCTGCAGGGCCGAACACAGCGTCAATAAATCGGTGAGGCTCCTTTTCAAGATAGGCCAACTGAAAACAATAATAATTAGCCTGGGAAGTAGACTATGTATTCATTGCACTTCACACACACACCTGAGCCGAGGCCGCATAAGGTGCGACTATAAAGTTAATTCCTTCTCCTTGAAGAATTCGCTGTAGAAATTTATAAAGGCTTTCGGGATGTGCACTCCCTATTCCGATTGTACGTTTAGCAACCATCCTGAGAGGTGCGGGGTGTGGGAAGGGCTGGAGAGAGGGGGGGGGGGGGGGTATATCAATTACCGGCACCACTGAAAGCATCAACAACTTGATCAGCCTGTTGTTGGTCGTAATACTCCCAGGCCTGGTTCAATGCCTTGGTATTCTCTGCTTGCGCCGAAAAGTCCGGATATGGCTTGCCTGCATCAAGACCATCAAAGACAAAAACGGGCGTGACGTCCGCTGCTTTCAGCGCTTGAAGTTCGCGGGTGATGTTGGCCTGGAGGGCAAAGGGAAAGCCTCCAAGGGCAATTAGAAGCGGCTCTTTCGTCACATAGTGGTTTAAATGGAGGTCGAGGTAGTGTGTGGCATGGATGCCTATCGCAGAGCCCTTGAGCACAGCTAGATCGAATGTTTGGGTGCGAGTGTTGGCCCATTCATCAAGCGGACGAGCTGCAAGTACCATGTTAGCTGAACAGTCTTTTGCCTATGTGGTAAATGAGGAATGGACTATGGAGGATAATTTTCCGGCTACTTACTCGACATTGCTGCAGGCATGGTTGGACCCGGGGTAAATTATATATTCTTGGGGGACAGCTCTAGCTGTCTGTTTGCTGAAGCTTCAACCAACACGCGATAAGGCGTCCTGGGGGTTTGCTTTGCGGGTGAGGGCAAGGAACAGGGAAAGGAAAGGCGGCGACGAGCTAGATAACAGTTTTATAATGAAAAGGAGGAGGGCGCAAGGGAGGAGAAGATGGCGGTTTGCTCAAAATCTCCATCAACTTTTCGATCAAAAGCTCGAACTTGCGGTTTCCACGACGTCAGGATGATGACTAATCAGGGATGCACATGCACCTGGGCAGAATTACGGTCACGGGATATGGGGCTTATCTAAGCCTCTATCTTATCTCGATAAGGAAGTTCGCGACTTCAGCTTCATCCTTCGTAGCAAAAGCATGCAAAGAGACGCTTGATTTCGCTGTTTATCTTGGGATATACGGCCATGTAAGTTGTGGTTTTGAAGATATATATATATATATACACTGCATTTGTCCGGTATGGCGTCCGAGGCGGAGATCCAGCTCCCTGTTATCGACATCTCCAGTGCAACAGCCGAGGTGGGCAAGCAAGTCATCGATGCTGCCAGACAGTATGGCTTCCTCTACATTGATACAGCCAGCAGCTCTTTCTCCAAGGAGGAGATAGATTCCACCTTTAAAATGGTATCTATCATTCTTTCTATATTCCAGGGAAACCAAACATCTGTCAATATTACGGATGTATTATCTAGATGTTCAAAACTAACCCCACACAGGCACAAGAATTCTTCGCCTCCCCTATCGAGGAGAAAAAGGAGGTAGAGATCAGGTCGGATGTACGTCTAGATCTGTCCTTACATGGACATTGAGACTCGGGCGAGCTGACAGGGCCAGAACATGGGTTGGACAGCCATGCACAAAGAGACCCTGGACCCTGAACACCAGCAGGTAGCGACCACGCTTTTCCATCGCAGCCTGAACTAATTAAAGCTAACCATACATCAACGCCAGAGGGGAGATTTCAAAGAGTATATATACCTTCTTACCACACAAGATACCCATACAATACCATGAACCCCCGCATCTAACATGACCCAGAGCAATCAACTTTGGCGAGTTCAAAAACAACAAAGCCAGTCAACCGCTGCCTAAGTCCCTGGTCCCTCACGAAGAGGATTTGAACCGCTTCACTTCCCTATGCCAGAAGACATGCGCTCGCATCCTCACCCTTCTGGCTTTGGGTCTAGATGTATGTTCTCAACATTATGGATTGTAGGGAGGTTTCATACCAAAGCTAAGACCCAACGCAAATTAGATACCTGATAATTGGTTTTCGTCCCGCCACGACCCATCCCATGGCCCGTCGGGCAGCACCCTGCGGTTCCTATACTACCCGTCGCTCCGATGCCCAAGCACGCAATCGTTCCAGCATGGCGTTGACGTACGGGCCGGCGCACATTCAGATTACGGGAGTATCACGCTCTTGTTCCAGCGAGATGGGCAGCCAGGGTTGGAAATTCTTACGCCGGCTGGGACGTGGGCGGGTGTGCCTGTTCGTCCGGCTGGGGTGTCGACTTCGGCTTCGCTTGCGCCTCCGATACTGGTTAATATCGGTGATTTACTCAGCTATTGGACTCGTGGGGTGTTGAAGTCTACGGTGCATAGGGTTGTTTTTGCGAAAGGCGAGGAAGAGGAGAGCGAGGGGAGGGATAGGTATAGTATTGTGTACTTCTGCCATCCGTGCCATGATACGGAGCTGGTTGCTGTACCTAGTAGCATTGTTGAAGGGGTGGGTAAAGGTGAAGGTGAGGGTGAGGGCACGGGGATGGGAGGAGAGAAAGTGGTTACTGCTAGAGAGCATTTGGCGAGCAGACTTGCAGCTACGTATGGTAAGTCGGTGGGAGCATATCATCGTGAGTAGGCGGGTAATATGAGCAAGCAAGTAAGTAGGCCTGGTTGAGGTGACGGGTGATATTGTATATTGTACATATAGTCTCGATTCTCCAGCATCAACACAGGACTACACTACACTATTGCATACATACAAGCCCGACAGATAATGACAAGGAGATATAAAATATAAATGGAGAAGCAAAGAGATATATGCAGACGAACAAAACTATGGAAGAAAAAAAAGGTGGAAAAGAAGAGAGAAAGAAATATCCTATTGACCTCCCCCCTTTCCCACCCACACCCAGCCTAACCAATGGAGCCAATTAGGTCACATACGTGAAAATGCAGCAAATGCAACAACCGGAGGAAATAAGAATTGTATGGAGAGGAGAAACACGATTGGAAACAGGTAAGAATGCCATGGACGGAGAGATAACGATAAAGTAAGAAACCAAGCTAAGGAGGGACGGACAGGTAGGCAAGGGTACGAGGAAAGATGTTTAAGACGATACGATGACTGGCTGGAGAGTAAACGCTATCAGATGGATTGCCGTCAGGTGGGTGATGATTATGGCGTGCAGGTCGAGTAGCCGAGTACGTGTGTGCCAGCAGCAGGGTGCCCACTGGTGTATAAGCAAGTAGGTAGGAGAGGGAGTTCGGTGGGTATAAGGAGAGAATTGTCATGGCACGTCTGGGGAAAGATCATGTAGAGGAAGGCAAGATGAACGACACCGATGTATGAAGAACAACGCTAAGTACTTTAGATAGCATGAAGATCTGGTTTTGCCGCCTGCTCTGAGGATAACCAGACGCAGATGAATGCAGATGCATTGAGGCACAATGGAAATATACAAATGCGGCGAGCGGAAAACCTTTCGAATGAAGGTCGAGTAAGTAAAGTCGCGGCATGATGAGGAACGGATGAAGACAGGCTTGCTAATGTCCAAAAATGGATGATGAAAATAGAAACAGAGAAGTAGCAAAAGGGGAATCGTGCAAATGCCAGAGATAAAAAAGAGCAAGGAAAGCAACGAGTAGCGTATAAGAGATTGATTAGGTTGTCACAGGATGATGATGATGGTGGTGGTAGTAGTGGTGGTTGGGGTGATAGTAGTAGTAGTAGTAGTAGTAGTAGTAGTAGTAATGGTGCCAGGCATGGACATCTCGTAACAAAAGAAATTCGTCGGATGTATAGAAGGGATATATTAATGAATGAGACGGTTGAGAGCGAGGAATAAGAGGGAACTAGTGTTCCGGTGATGAATGGCACCAGTGTCGGTGGTAGACCCATGCGCTCTTCTGGCACTCTTTACTGCAGTATTTTGTCCTCCTGCACCGTCGACACTTTGCAAACTGTCGCTGGAACTCTTCCCATTTCCCGCACTTGTAATAGGCGCATTGACGAATGCCACCTCGTGAATCGTCTTTGCGGCACAAGTTGCGCATCACGACGCACGCCCAGTACTGCATGTCCTTTGTGTGGTGGCGAACGGTGAATTTTTCGACCAGTGGGAAAATGTTGAAGTCATCTGGGAGGATGTATTCTTCCATTTCCTCCTGGGCTTCTTCGGCGGTTTGAGGGGAGGTAGTGGTGTTGGAACCAGAAGGAGCCGATGTAGAGGGGCCCGAAGAGGACGAAGAAGTAGAGGCTGGCAGCGGATTTGCTTCGTCTAGCATTTCGAGTTCCTTGCCTATCTTGAGACGGGGTACGAGATGGGTTTGTTGGAAGTATGAGCGGAGGTTGCAGTACTTGGAGACGTAGGCGAGCAGTTGGAGGGCGAGGAGGACGTCCTCGTCCCGGGGCATGGCAGCGAGGATGGTAGGGCCGGCTGGGTTACCACTGCGGGAGGAGTGAGGTTGAGAGGTTGAGTGTGATTGCGGGTTGGATTGAGGATGGGACTGCGACTGCGAGGGCTGGTTGTGCTGGTTCTGGTTCTGGTTCTGGAGGTAGAAGGGATAAGGGTTGTTGAAGACGCCAGGAGCCTGGTGGCCGTTGGGTTGACGAGCATGAGCGTGGGTTGGAGGGTGACCGTTTGCCGGAGAGGTCGCCGCCTGGGCAGCCTGGGTGGGAGCGTTGACGGTGCTGGCGTCGTCGAGCATGGCATCACGGTCTCGCATGTTGATGTCCTCGAGGTCCATGCCGCTGCTGTCAAGGTCAACGATGGGCTGTTGTTCGGCAGTCTCGACGTTGGCTGTTTCCAGATCACCTTCACCCATGATGATGTCGTTGTCGTCTGGCTCAGGCTGTGCATCGGCGTCATCTGAATCACCTGAGGTGGAGCGTTGCTGACGAACCGAAGGGCGACGATGAAAGATGCGAGGCATGAGAGGCGATATATTAGCCTGAGGAGCACCTGCACCAAGAGGTGTGGTGGGAGACTCTGGCTGGGAGGTGATTCCGGCCTGGAGACCGGGGAGGGCCGAAGGGAGGCGATCGACGTCTCTAGCCTGGCGTATAGGATTAAACGGGTCAGTAGTAGGCGTTGTTGTTGCGGCCGTTGTGGTAGCCGCGGTAGCGACAGTGGCAGAAGCGAGTGGCTGCAGGATCCGGTGGCGATGACCTTCTCGCTGGTGATGGTGGTGGTGATGGTGATGGTTAAAAGTCGTCCGTTCCGGCGGCGAGGTCAGGACGATGTGAGGAGACGGCTGAACGTCTATGGGGGTATGTAGGTTGTTGTGACGGCCCTCTGTGGCAGCGGTAGTTGCCGTGGTGGCTGCAGTGGTAGCAGTATTAGTAGTAGCGGTATTATGTTCTGGCCCATCCTGAGCATATGGTAGGGGAATCTCGATGGAAGGAGGAGGAGCCTGACGTCGAGCGTTCCGCTGGTCTGATCTATGGTCATAAAACGAAGCTCTTGACGTTCTAGGAGGCTGATCTCTCCTAGAAGATGTTGAAGAAGTCGGGATCGAGGTTGTGGCGGCGGCGGTGGTGGTAGTAGTAGTCGTATTGATGGCAGTCTTGTGCTGTTTTGAGCGAGAGGCCTCTGGATCAGTGGATGCAGCAGCCGAAGAAGAGGCGCGTATCCGGTCGACAACACGGATGTAGTTATCGAGGATGGTAGCAATAACGGGGACCATGTCTGCCTCTACCACACGGGTGCGAACATTCTCTGAGCCACGAACACCGATGTTGACGACGCACTGGAAGGCGAGATTCCACTTCCACATCTCCATGAGGTCCTTGCTGCGGCCAGCCTTGAGGATGCATACCAGCTGTTCGATGCCGCCATCGACGGTGAGGATGTCACGGATGCGGTCTGATGAAGTAGTGAGGTAGGCAAGATGGTTGAGGGAGTTGATGAGAGGCAGAGTCGAGGTGCAGTCGAGGGCCCGTCTGTCGTAGAGAGTAGTAGTGATGTTGACAGCCGCCTTGTTGACGCTGGGGATGCTAAAGTTGACTTCTCTCATCTTCTTTTTCCCTTTCTTGTGTCTTTTTTTTTAAAAGTGGTGACTTCTTGAGATAAGTTCTGTCTGGCTATTGTTGATTTTTTTTTTTTCCCTCTTCGTTAATTAACCCTTTGGCCCTTCTCAGTAAGTCGAGTCTGACGCTGACGGTGGTAAGACTTTTGAAACACAGGCTAATGCAGAGCCGGGGCAAGGGACATGGTATCACCCAAACGCAGGAGTGCCCAAAAGGAAAAGGAAAAAAAGAAGAAAAAGGCCAACTGTGAGCGAGATGCTCGATGAGAATAGCCGACCTGAGGCGACGGGAGATGCGGAGAGCGAGCGAGGGAGAGTCCGCCAGCGAGCGGCAGCTTTGGGTAAGGGGAGGTGGATGGATGGAAGGATGACCGTCGAAGCGCCGGGGAACAGGGGAGCAGGTCAGGGGAGACGCAGGAAGCCGCTGGGACGGTCAGAGCCGAGCTGTCGTCACAGGAGGGAGGAAGCAAGAGAAGGTCGAGACAGAGACGAGGGCGGCCTTAGAGACGAACGAGCATAAGAGCTTCCTGGTCTCCTCTATGCTTCTATGCTTCCTCTCTGTCTTTTGTTTTTGCCTTGTGGCTGCTGGAGGAGGAGGAGGAGGCGGGAGAGGGTGGAAAAA